TCCAAAGAAAATTCAAGGGTAATCTAGAGAAAATTGTCAAATTCAGAGAAAATTCAAGGGTAATCCAAAGAAAATTGCCAAATCCAGAGAAAAGTGACCAAATCCAAAGAAATTCTGGGAATCCAGAGAAATTCAACACTGTCAACATTGTCAACAAAAAATTTCTCTGGTTTGTAGGAAACATTGTATTCAACACTAGATATATATATACATATATATGTGCTGACATTGTATATATGCAGTGTTCACAGTGTTGTATACAATGTTGACAGTGTTGACATTGTATATATATATCCAGAGAAAACATTGTCAACATTTGTAGGAAACATTGTATACAATTTCTCTGTCAGCACATTTCTCTGGATTCAGAGAAAATTTCTCTGTCAGTTCAATCTCCTCATTATTGATAAATTCAACACTGTCAACACTGTCAAAAGAAATTCAAGGGTTCTCTGTTTGTGTATATATATATGTATGTATCATATATATATATATATATATATACATTGTTATTCTCAACATAATCTAACAGAAGTATTTGGAGAAGTTTTCCATTTATGTTTTGTGATTATATTAACCTTTTTGTAATAGTTGTCTAAATATTCAAAGAAAAGAATTTCCATGCTATATTCAATCATAAAATCATACCAATTTCTGCTCCTAAGATTAGATTGTTTCAAACCAAAGTCAGATTTTTAGGTTATGATATTCACCAGAATACTATTTTACCTATTAGTTGTTCCATTGAATTTGCGTTTAAATTCCCTGGTGAAATCTTAGATAAAACTCAGCTACAATGTTTTTTAGGATCGCTGAATTATATTGCTGAATTTTACAAAGACCTTAGGAAAACTTGTCAACCCCTGTTTGATCGGTTTGAAAGACAATCCTCCTCCTTGGTCTTCTACTCATACTACTATTGTTAAACAGGTTAAACAATATGTCAAGTCTCTTCCTTGTCTTGGTATTCCTACTGAAAATTCATTCAAAATTATCCAAACTGATGCCTCTGATATCGGTTATGGCGGCATCCTTCTCCAGCAAATTACTCCTCAGTCATCTGAACAAATTGTTCGTTATCATTCTGGTGTCTGGAATAAAGTACAAAAGAATTATAGTACTATTAAAAAAGAAATTTTATCTACTGTTTTATGTATCAATAAATTTCAAGATGATATTTTAAATCAACAATTTTTACTTCGTGTTGATTGCAAATATGCTAAATATGTTTTAGAAAAAGATGTTCAAAATCTTGCTAGTAAGCAAATTTTTGCCCGTTGGCAATCTATTTTAAGTATTTTCGATTTTACTATTGAATATATACCTGGTTGTCAAAATTCCATTCCTGATTTCCTTACTCGGAAATTTTTACAGGGGAGATAGGGATGGCCACTCCATTTATTGCTTACGATAAAACTCAAATTACCCATTACCGTGATCTGATTCACCAAACTGCTTATCGCATTGCCTAGTTAAAATTAGCCAGAAATACTACTAAACGTGCTCAATACATTCAGTATCACCAAATTCAAGCTCGTCGCCATTTACTTGCTGATTATTACAACCATTTGGATTTTCATCAAACTTATTTATATCTCCTTAGTGGTTGCTAATTTTTATTGCTAACCTTTATTTCTTTTCAAACAGATGTCTCGCCCAAGGCCCCCTTCTAAAGCCTTGGTCCCAACTAGTCAACATTTTATTCCTCCTTTGGAGTTAGTCACCCAATACCATCCTATTGAAATGATTAACCGTTACCAAGTTCTTGGTAATATTCCTCGACCCAGTTTCACATCTGCTTTGGCCACTGATCCTTTTGCTTCATCCAGCCAAGCAGTTACTCCATACCCTCCTAATCCTATTAAAACTGCTCGATCTGATTATGTTGACTCAACAACTACTAATCTCTTTTTCAAAGAACCTAGTCACCCAAAGAGTCAATCTGTTAATGATCTGGTTAAAACTTATTTCCCTTCTGGATGGCATTTTGTTCCTCTCCATCCAGAGAAAACAATCACCTTCTATAAAGACATCCTGCTCAACCATCAGTCAATTGTGATTATACTCATTTATGATCGTACTTACACTAGTAAAGTGGTTTACCATTCACTTTATATTCACAATTTTGTTTCCTTAGTTGAATGGGGTTTTCCTTATCAACTTCGAGATTTACCTAATCACTCCTTTCAGTATAATTATTATGATTATATTGATGCCTGGTTCAAATTCCTATATCAAAATGAAACATTTAGTCACTCTTGGTTTCTTCAATTTGATCAAAAGTTTAAGTCAGAATTACCTATTTGGCTTCTGAGATGGTGGACCCATTATGGTGTCATTCCAAACATCTTCCCATCAGTAATTTTGGATCAAGTCAATTACTTCTCCACTGTTTTCTCATTTACTCCACAGCAAAGAGAATTCCCTCAATTGCTTATTTTTATATCCAAATATAAAATCCCTTGGATATTCAAATGGCAATATGGTATTTCTGGTAAAGTGATTTAGCGGCTACATAAGAATTGTAATAAACAATTGTTTAATGGAGTGAAATAAACAATTCTTCAAAATAAATAACTTGAAAACGAACTTGAAAAGAAAATTACAGAGATAGGTTTTTCTCTTGAAGAAGGAATGCTCTCAATTTTTTCTAACTCTGCCTTATTCTTGACTAAAGAGGCCCTTTTATAATCAAAAGAGACCACTGTTAGCCTTATGAGTGAATACTATGAGCCTTGTGAGTGAATAGTCTTGACTTGAAAGGAGCATCAGAAGCACACGGGAGTTGTCTGCTACTTTCGGTGAGTGACTAAAACTTTTACTGGGCTGAATTTGTTGGTGGGATGAATCATGATGAATAATGAATAGTAATATTGACTTTTTGATGAATAGTGAACAGTAAAGTTGACTTTTTTACTATTCATTGCTTTGAGGCATGTGACTGAGGGAATCAATATAGATATATATACCAGCAGCTTTTCTCAAAAGCCGAGTATTGATTGAGGCTGATAATTATAGCTATATAGAATCCAATGACTGAATTAAGAATATGGGTCCTAAGCATCTTGGAACTCGGGTCCATATGGATTTTGAGTAGTTGAACCTTCAGAAGAGCTTGAACTGTCTGAACCATCTTCTGAACTGTTGTTATCCGAGTCTGACTTGGCTTGGGCCATGAGTAGACGAGCCATTTGGAGGAGCTCATCTTTGGATGACTTGGACTTGGGCTTAATCTTGGATTTATCCTTTGACTTGGGCTGGTCAGAACTGGGCTTTGCTGACTTGGATTTAATCTTTGATTTGGATGACTTGGGCTTGGAAGAACTGGATGATGGGCTTCCAAGATTGACTGGAGGAAGTTGGCTTCCTTGAGTGACTGGAGTAGTTGGGATCTGCTAAGTTTTAACCATGGCAGGTGTAGGAGCATGAATGTTAATCGGGAACTCAGTTTGAACAATTTCAACAATTCGTTGAATCTTGAAGTTATCCCACCATTTAACCTTATGTAGCCGCTAAATCACTTTACCAGAAATACCATATTGCCATTTGAATATCCAAGGGATTTTATATTTGGATATAAAAATAAGCAATTGAGGGAATTCTCTTTGTTGTGGAGTAAATGAGAAAACAGTGGAGAAGTAATTGACTTGATCCAAAATTACTGATGGGAAGATGTCTGGAATGGCACCATAATGGGTCCACCATCTCAGAAACCAAGTAGGTAATTCTGACTTAAACTTTTGATCAAACTGAAGAAACTAGGAGTGACTAAATGTTTCATTTTGATATAGGAGGACTTTGAACCAGGCATCAATATAATCATAATAATTATACCGAAGGGAGTGATTAGGTAAATCTTGAAGTTGATAAGGAGAACCCCATTCAACTAAGGAAACAAAATTGTGAATATAAAGTGAATGGTAAACCACTTTACTAGTGTAAGTACGATCATAAATGGGTTTAATCACAATTGACTGATGGTTGAGCAGGATGTCTTTATAGAAGGTGATTGTTTTCTCTGGATGGAGAGGAACAAAATGCCATCCAGGAGGGAAATAAGTTTTAACCAGATCATTAACAGATTGACTCTTTGGGTGACTAGGTTCTTTGAAAAAGAGATTAGTAGTTGTTGAGTCAACATAATCAGATACATACATATATATATATGTATCATATATATATATATATATATACATTTATCAACAATGAAGAGATAAAAGTAACTAATTTTTCTTTTGAACCTAAAGACGTTGTAGAACCTAAGGACGTTGCTTTCGGTATCGCCGTCGAATCCAGTGGGAAGAAGTCGAGGCGGCGATGATGACGCATACCGACAGTGGCTAGGGCTGAGCTGTGGGGAGACGATGATGCAGATGGCGACGGCGATCGTGATCTGAGGCGATGATGGAGACAGCGACAGCGGTGAGAAGCCAAAGATGAGAGAAGAGGAGAAGAGAGATAGATCTAGGAATGAGAGAGAGAAAGATTTAGGGTTTTGAACTAGTAGATGAGATCAATGAGAGAGAGAGAGAGAGAAGAGCAATGGGAGACAGAAGAGCAGTGAAAAAGAGAGATAGAGAGCATGGAATATATCAAATTTCTCTGTGATAGATGGGTGTGAGTTGAAAAACCTCAGACATCAAAAAATAATATTGTGGATCTCTTTTATTACTAAAAATAGAAAAGGAACCTTAGACTAATTTTTTCAAAAAAAAATTATTTTCATCCTCTGGTTGAGAATATTGATTTGGGGATACTGGTAGACAACCTGTGCCTCCTTTTCAATTAATCATGAAATTCCCAGCCTTGTTGAGCTTTCACAAAGTAGATCCTAATCATACAAATCAACTCAATAAAATCCTTCAGGCTGGCTTAAACACAAGAAAATCATTTTTCTTAATTAATGTGAAAGGCCTTTCTAATTAAATTCAACACAGAAACGAATTTATCTTGTCTTTTTTTTCTTTTTTAATTTTTTTTTATTGAAAAAACTTTTGCAGAAGCCAGCATTAATCGTCAACTACATTATAACCTCAATGAAACAATATATTTCTTGGAGGAGGACATCAAACAAGGCACAAAGATGAACTTGGACCTCTCTAAAGAAGCAAATAGAGTAACATTCTTACCTCGAACAGTTGCTCAGTCGATGCCCTTTTCATCGAATGAGTTTCCTAAAATTCTGAACCAATTTTCTGTGAAACCCAATTCAGCAGAAGCCAAGATTATGAAAAAAACAATTGAAGTTTGCACAGAGATGCCTGCCTTTAAAGGAGAGCTGAAATATTGTGCAACTTCATTAGAGTCGATGATTGATTTCTGCACTTCCATGCTTGGCAAAAGAGTCAAGGCATTGTCGACAGAGTTGGAAAAAGAGACTCAATTGAGGAAGTATAGTGTTGTGGGATTCAAGAAGATTGGTGGTGATGAAGTGGCAGTGTGTCATATGCTCAAGTACCCATATGCGGTGTTTTCCTGCCACAACGTGCACTCGACCAAAGTGTACATGGTTTCATTGGAAGATGCAGAGGAGGGCGGGACAAAAGCGACAGGTGTGGCAGTGTGTCATATAGATACAGCAGCATGGAGTCCCAACTTCGAGGCTTTTCAAATGCTCAAGGTCAAACCAGGAACTGTCCTTATTTGCCATATTCTTCCTGAAGATAATATTGTCTGGCTTCCTAACTAAATCTGTCTATATATATTGTGGTTTTAAATAATGTGTCGGCATATGTATCGATATCAGCTATACGGTTACGTATCGATTGATATCGAATTGTATTGACCGATATATTAATGAATAACAGTATCGAAAGTCCTCAATCCCGATACATAACAACGATGTTTAAAACCTATATGCATATAATTGTTAGGATCAAACACACCCAGAAATATATCTCACACACACAGGAAACACAATATTTACGTGGTTCGGCCCAATGCCTACATCCACGGACAGAAATGAGAAGTTTTCACTAAAATGGAGCAAAATACAAAATACAGAGGAGGAGATGAAACTCACTCAACTCACAGCTCTCACTCTCTAATTTCTGATCTGTATCTCATCCTCTCCCTCCCGTCTCTATTTATACACAAAGGAGTAGGTGGGAGAGCCTTCATTCTTGACTTTTGACATGGTTGGTGGCCACCAAGCTTGACTTGGTTGGTTGTCTTCCTTTGTTGACATGAGGATCACCCCTTTCACATGGGGTGACCTTCAACAATCACCCCCTCAGCCCATGTGAGGTGATCCACAACAAAACCTGCTGCCAAGGTATCAAGCACCCCCTGATTGGATGCCCTGCACCCCCTGCTCGGGATACCCTTGCATTACCGTGCAGCTTCTTGCATGATGAAACACGGGAGCAACTAGAAAACTTCAGAGTTTGACACATCAACATCTTCAATTTTCCTTGCTCGGAGCTTATTTCTGAACAACCAGCCTTTGCATTCTGCACTTCAGAACAACTTCCCAGCGATCTCATACGCCCGTTGTCTGTGCTGCAATCCCTGATGTTCGATTCTGTCTCACTTGTCCGCACTGATGTTTGACAGTTAGCCCTTCTGCCAAGACAACTTCCACCGGTCTGTACAAGTTACCACTATGCAACTCCGTGCATAGTGCTTGCACCCCCTTATTGGAGTGCATTGCAAAGCTCACTTTGCGACTTGAAATTGCATCCCTCCCTTGCATCTTTTGAGAGGTTGCAAAATGTCTTTAACACGGGAGCAAAAGAAACTCTCTTCTTCACTGGCATAGTTTCTACAGACTTGGTTTCTTTGCTCTGAACTTTCTTCAAGATTGGCTTCACTGGCTCAGATCTGTGCACCTTTGAACTGCCTCCTTGCGTTCCCGTGCACCATTTTCGCCATTCCTGATGAAAGCCTTGCTCAATCATACGCTTTGGTTGCGTATGTTCTCTCTTTGTACCCTTCGACTGGCATTTGACAACACTCATCTTTGTCAAAACTTCTCCTTCCAGTCTGTACAGTTTGTTGCCTTGCAACAATTTCTCTATCACCTCTTCATCGTCAGAGGAATTCACTACAACTGCTGTAGTTGAGGGACCTCCGTGTCCCTTAGCCTTCTCTTTGGCTTGTCTGTCCGCCTTTTTCTCTGGGCAATCTCTTATTACGTGATCCTCTTGATCACAGTAAAAACACCTCCTCATGTTGTCCTGTCTGGACTGTGAACGCCCTCTACTTTTATTTCTTTTTACAGAAACTCCGTCTCCAAAATCTGACCATACGGATGTGTCTGGAATACTCCAAATAGTCGGAAACCACTATTGGATCACCAAAAACGGACTCCAAATGGCTTAGAACAAGCCAAAACAATTTTAACGGTGCAGATCGGCAGAATCTGGTGCGCCTGCGAAGCACCAGATTACTCCTCCAGTTATGCTGACGTCAGGCTGGCGTCATCGGCTCAGTCAGCGGCTCGGTCAGCGGCTCGGGCTCGGTCAACGCGGCTCCTGCTCGAGCGGCTTGGTGCGCGCGCGTGCGGCGCGTGTCGCGCGTTCTCCCAGCTGTCTGGTAAGGAACTGAGTAATAATAATGCTTGCATCTCATCCTCCAACTCCATTTTGATTGATGCAAGCTGGTTCACAAGGCTGTGGAATTCACTGGTGTGTTCAGCAACAGACACACTATTCTTCAGCTTCAGGTTTATAAGCCTTTTCATTATCAAGGCTTTGTTCCGTGCGGTCTTGGACTGGTACATGCCCTCCAATTTCATCCATAGGGCATAGGCGTCTGTCTCTTGGGCAACATGGTGGAACACACTGTGGTCAATCCACTGTCTGATTTGACCGACAGTCTTCCGGTTGGTTTTTATCCAGTCCACATCCTTGTCTCCATCTGGTTTGACCCCCTTTAGCGCTATAGGGTCAAACAAATCTCTACAATACAGGACGTCCTCCATCCGCGGCTTCCATATCGCATAATTAGAAGCGTTCAACCGAATCATCGGCCCTGAAGCTGATGTGGATTCCTCCATCATCCAGAAAGTAATCTCTGTTTGAAAAACAGGCTTTGCTGTGAAGTCCGGACTGCTCAAATTAGCCGGAAAAACACTTCGGATTGCCAAAATAAAAACTGCGAATTTTTGAAAAACTTATTTGCAAAATCTGACCGTACGGATGTGTCCGAAATATTCCAAATAGTTTGAAAACACTATTGGCTCACCCAAATCGGACCTCAAATGGCTTAGATCAAGCCAAAACAATTTTAACGGTGCAGATCGGCAGAATCTGGTGCGCCTGCGAAGCACCAGATTACTCCTCCAGTTATGCTGACGTCAGGCTGGCGTCATCGGCTCAGTCAGCGGCTCGGTCAGCGGCTCCGGCTCGGTCAACGCGGCTCCTGCTCGAGCGGCTTGATGCGCGCGCGTGCGGCGCGTGTCGCGCGTCAACTCACGCGTCGTCTACCTTCGTCCGCGCGTGTAGCGCGTGTCTGAGACTGTAACCACGCGCCGGGAGCCTGCACGGCGCGTGTAGGCGCGTGACGCGACTGGGATTCACGCGCCAACTTCCAGAGGCGCGTGAGGGCGCGTCCTTCCTCCGTTGGGTGTCTGCTTTATATTTCTGGACTCCTCTCGTCGAGCCCTTGTTCCTGGTATGCTCAAAATCTGATTTCGAGCAATACGATTTCTGGGCAGTTTCGGAACAACACTTTGTTTTTTCCGCAAAACGCACAACACCGGCTCTGATACCACTTGTTAGGATCAAACACATCCAGAAATATATCTCACACACACAGGAAACACAATATTTACGTGGTTCGGCCCAATGCCTACATCCACGGACATAAATGAGAAGTTTTCACTAAAATGGAGCAAAATACAAAATACAGAGGAGGAGATGAAACTCACTCAACTCACAGCTCTCACTCTCTAATTTCTGATCTGTATCTCATCCTCTCCCTCCCGTCTCTATTTATACACAAAGGAGTAGGTGGGAGAGCCTTCATTCTTGACTTTTGACATGGTTGGTGGCCACCAAGCTTGACTTGGTTGGTTGTCTTCCTTTGTTGACATGAGGATCACCCCTTTCACATGGGGTGACCTTCAACAATAATCAATGCCTATTATGTAGTTCCATATGTTTGTTTGTGTAATTATTTAATGTTTACTTTATATTAATTAATAACTTCAACCAACTTTATATGCTTATGAATCTGCAGCTTGTTGAAATGTTTATGGAATCATATTACTCGGTAATTGATATCTGTTTTGTTCCCAACACGTCTTACCAAAAATAAAAAATAAAAACAACCAAGTCTGACAAGAAGTTGCCCTAAAAGTGACTTGGAAAGAAACCCCCAATCAATGTGAAATAACAGCAAAATTCAGTTGAAAGGGAAAATCCCATGAATCTTGAAGAATTGTAGTTGTATTACTCTGGATATGTTTGTTCTAATGCATACATAGCTCGCTACTACAAACTTCAACAATTACCTTTTACCAAATCATGAAATCAGCAAGCCGGAAAAAAAAGTCTTCCTAGACAACAATATTTCTCGAGGAAAATGAACGATAAAAGATGAGAAATGAAATTAAAAGTTAATGACAACATGAGAAATACTACAATCTCTTGCGACACAAAATGGGCAAGTAACAAGAATAGTGACAAACATATACAATTTAAATATCACCAATGATTGCAAAAGTTGTTCATGTTATCATGGCTTCACAAATGAGCAAATGAACAAATCTCTCTCTCTCTCTCATTGTACACATTTTGGATAAAAGGTAGAAGCATCTAAACGAAATTATAATTGTTTAACTACGGATGCTAAGCAATGCTAGAGTTTCACATATAAAGAATGAAAAAATTGCAAACCGCATGGGGAGGAAAAGGCGGGAGAAAACAAACTTGTTACAATAATTACGTGTATTAAATCTCCTCAACACCCAGCAGTTGTGAGGAATTTGTCGTAGGAGCTCGAAGGCGGAAGTCTGAGAGACTATTGATGTCCATGCTCGAGTGAACAAACAAGAACCTTCTCTCCTCCTCCTTGAACTCGCTCCATGTTTATCAATTTAGGATCCTCTTCTGAAAGCTCCATTGTCTGAAAGAGAAGCCCACAAAGAAAACTTCAAAAATATTTCACATGCGAGAAAATACAAAAAAATCCAGTCTCATGTTGCACTTTCAAATTTCAATAATAGACAATGGCAGACAGATGTCGCATTCCTAGTCTGAGAACTGAGGTTTGGGCAGAAATTGATTTTATTCCATAAATAAAAGTTTTCTAATATAGTTTTTTTTTTTTTTTAAAATAGTTAGGAACCTTTGAAGTGGGCAACAACTTCATAATAACCCTGACAACATCAAAAGGGGGGTCAAAAGAAAAAGGGTTTGAATATAGTCAACGATACCATGAGCAACCTTGTTTAATGTCGACTAGAAGGTGCACACCCACAAGGGTGTTCTTGAAATCGGCAGTCAAAGGATCCATGGCTGTCCTTGAAATTGACAGTTGCAGTTTACAAAAGGGTAGTTTAGGTATAAGAAAAGTTGTGACAAAAGTATTCATACCAACACTATATGATAGTATAGAAAAGTAATACAAAAATAAAATAAGATGAGACTAATGACCATACATGATCCCACGGCCAACCAAAAAGATTTAAATGTCATAATGAAGGATAATGGTATTGTCCAAGACCTTCTAATGAATGAGTTCATAATTCTCCTAAGCTTGATAGTTTTTGGAAAGTAAGGAGGGTGTAAGTATAAAATTCAGAAACTATTTTACCAGCGATGACAAAGAATCAATTTCTCTTCTTCCTAGGAAAATAACAAGAAGGTGGGGAAACAAATAACAC